GACTATTGGCTTTTCTTGACCCATTTCAAACGACGGGGTTACCATTATATTGTGATACTGTTAACAAGAATGGCCCATTTGTAGATGTTTGTTTATGGCTGCGTGAATAACATGACCACACGATTTATATTGAATGTAAAATAGCACAAAATATGAAAGACAAGAAGGAACAAAAGGTTTTATAACAAACAGCAGTTATATTTATTTTGTATAAATGATGTACACGCATAGAGTTTTAGTGTTATGTCCCTTTGACTGTGAAATATTTTTATCTGAGCTCACAAATGTTGAATGAATTATAAAGCTGAATAAACTTTAGCTTTTGGAAGGTTATTTCAAAGAGAAAAGTTCTTCTTGCTTGTTTGAAATGTTCTGTATGTTTGTAATGTAGTTTGGAAAATTTTCGTACGTACGTGCACGCGTGAAAATGCTTTTAACTTCTGACTGTCCCTGGTCGAGACGAGAATCCTTCAAGGTCACATCTTTGCAGGAAAAGAGAAGAGAGAAGAGCAAGCTCGTGTCTGTTGTGGCGTCGCCCCCCACCCTGGTCGCAGCGTCGACTCTGTCGTTCGATCTCGTTCGCGGCGCCAACTGTGACGTGACGTGGTCCAGGGTTCTGGTCCTATGGTCACGACACCAGATGTGACGTCTTTGCCGCGGCGTCAGCTGTTCGCTCCTCGCTGCTCCAAGTGTGACGTTCTAACCCTTTGGTTAGATAATACCAACCTCGCCGTTCCCAACTCGCTTCCAACGCCTGGTTACTAGGGTAACTGCACTGATCTCGGTCTGCCTACCCACGTTGTGATTAGATCTTAGACAGACTGGATCAAACAGGGATTGGGGCCGTATGCAAGCTGAGTTCAACAGGGTGATAAACACAAGAAAAAGAAAAACTCACAAGGTCAAAATTATTGAAGAAAAAGGTAACAACTTTTTATATCTAAATGTTCGTTACACAAGATTATTCCTACCTCCCGACCCGTTTTGTGGACTGTGGCACCAAGCTTCTACCATACAACTTTAAGGCTTCGAGTTGCCTGCTCTCTAGAAATTTGCATTTCAGGGGGTGTGGATTGGTTTCGACACTGGGCGCTGATCTCTACCTGTCGTTCACGGCTGATTTTTCTCGCCGTCAGTGCGCGAATCGACTTCTTCTCTTCGGCTTCGGTTGGATGAGCTTATTCACTTCGGCTTGAGTTGGGCGAATTTCTTCACTTCGACTTGGGTTGGACGAATTTCTCTTCTTAGGCTTGGTTTGATTCCAACTTCTCCGAGGCGCAACTGCAACTTAACTTCTTCGAGGCGCAACCCCAACTCCAACTGATTTCTGTCGATTGGGGTCCTGCTTTTATTGAGGCAGTCAAAAACTGGGGTGGGTCTGCCGGCGCCAGGGTTTTCTTGATAATTCTAAAGACGCATTATTTCTGATTAGGGATTTTTCATTATCGCTCTTACTTTCACTCCTACTTCCTTACTGTGCCTCTGGGGGAGGCGCATACCCCTCCCCTGGTCCCTCGTATGTCAGGTGACCGCTCTCGACCAATGGGGTCCTGGTCGGGCATCTTTCCTCCTCCCTCGCACATCACGTGACCGCTCTCGGCCAATGAGACTCTGGTCGGGTGTCTCTCCTCCTCCCTCATGTATCATGTAACTGTCCTCGGCCAATGAGACTCTGGTCGGTATCTTCCCTCCTTCCTTCGTGACGTCTCTAATTGGGCGTGTACAATCCGTGGCTTTGTTCTGGGGGAAGAAACACCTTGTTTAAAAAAAAACAAAATTTAAATTTGCCCTTTTCGTATGTGATCGAATGACGCTATCGGTCCCTTCCACACGTGGCATCTGTCAACAGCCTACCGCTAATTGGATGCGATCTACGAAAGGAATTTTCCCAGACTGCGTGGTGGCGTCGCGCTCTAATACAAATATTCCACCTTTTTCTTTCGCTCGGAGCTTGCTAACAAAATCTTAATTATCTCAAAAAGCGATGTCAACCTGGGCGGCCCCCCTCAACTCCAAAAACCGCCTGACTTTCGTGTATTAATGTTTTGTTTTCATATCCTTAGATACAGTTCCCCATCTGTTACCTATCATCTCAATGACACTCTTTTCGTTTGTTACTTATCAATATTTTTTCATTGTCCCTAAAATTTTATTTCTTCAGCCAAATTTAACAAACTTCCCTCTTCCGTGGACACGGAATTAGATCAAGTGCTTGACCTGATATTTTTGACATCTGATATGTGCCAGTCGAGCGTGTGTGTTTTCGCTTACGACCTGGTTTCGTATTTATATTTTTTCTTTCTTTTTCTTTTTTCCATTATCTCTAAACTCTATTTCTTCAACCAATTATAACAACTTCCATTTTTCGTGGATTTCGGTCAGGTACTTTGACCTAGATATCTTTTGACACCTGTTATGTGTCAGCTAAGCGTGTGTGCTTATGACCGGGTTTTGTACCATCTATTTCTCTTTACTTTTTTCTTCCTCCTCCCTCCTTTCTTTCTCTCGGATCGCCTAAATGCAATTAGAGAATTATTCTCAAAACCCAAATATTTCTCATCTCTAAATAACTATCAAATGGTTAACAAACCGAAAAAAAAAAAATCATATATTTATGAATATCTCCTTTCAGTTTTCTAATTATGCATGGTGCCACACTGCTATTTATAATTAATGTAATCACGTGACAGGAAAATGAAACGAAACATTCCTATCACTATAGATATAAATATATAAAGATCTACATATTCAGTTAAAGATAAAACAAACACCCTTGATAATGGTTAATAGAATAACCGAAAGCACCCGGATACTTAAAATATTTGAACAGTTTTTGTACACTTTATGCCCAGAAAAATTATTTGAACGCAAGAAAAATTAAATAAAACACTTAACTGTAAGCCCGACCAAGATATATATATATATATAGAGAGAGAGAGAGAGAGAGAGATTTTGTGTGTATATATATTTTAGATACCCTAAGCAGATTCTTGAACCCCCAAAATGGAGGGCTATACAGAGATGGATTTATTGTTATTCCTAATAGTAATGGTTGTCTAACTTCTAAGTTGCGGAAAAAAGTCATTAAGGCCTTCCAATTTTAAAATTTTAAAATTGATATTTCATGTAAATTAAAAATCGTTTATTTCCTAGATGTTACATTTAATCTCTCCAATAACACCTTTAAACACTTCCAAAAAAGAAAATCAAACCCCCTTATACATCAACGTCAACTCGAACGACCCCAAATCAGTTATAAAACAGATTCCCAACACAGTCAGCACCAGAATAAGCAAACTGCCTTCTAGCTACAAAATATTCAATGAAAACAAACTTAAATACAAGCAAGTACTTGAAAAGAGCAAATTCCAACAAGCATTAAATTATCAAGAGAAACCAACTGAAAATACACCAAATAAATCCAAAAATAGTAAAAGAAAAATTATATAGTTCACCCTCCCATTCTGCAAATTATTTAGCATTTACATCGAAAAATTATTTCTTAAAATGAATAGAGAAACACTTTAGTAATAACAATACATTGAGTAAAATCTTTAATAAAATATGGAAAAAATTATAAATTCCCACAATAAAAATTTGATTAAAGAATTTCATATGAATCAAATACAAGAAAACACTTCTACCTGTAATTACAGAGTTAAAACTGACTGCCTACTAGGAGTATTATGTTTGGCAGAAAATGCAGTTTGTGAGGCCACAATTCCCCCCCCCCAAAAAATATAAACCAGAAAAAAGGTTTATATTGGAATATCCGCTGGGGATTGGAAGCAAATAATCTTCAAATGCAGATATAAAAATCGGTTCAAAATAACAAATTACACCTAAATATTTTGGGGGGAATTCGAACTCGGCTCCCCGATTCCTCAACACGAGTCGCTATCTACTACTCCAACGTGCCGCCATATATCTATGTATATGTTGTGACGAATTCTATCTCTCGACAAAATTCAAACATATGGCTGCGAACGTGGTTCGCTTAAAAGAAAAAAAACGAGGAATGTTCTCAATTAAGGCCCAACACCAGCACAGACGACGTACAGAAAACAAACATGACATGTAAACTATTTACATTGTTCGGAGAGAAAAGGGAGATCACCGCCTTCTGTGGGATCAGGTTGAAATCATAGACAAAGAACATCATGGGAAAATCCGTAAACTTAAGGAATCAGCACATATGTCAGGCCACAAAAATCTCCTGAGCCGACCAAGCATAGAAATGAATACAATATGGGAACCAGTAATAAGGATTTCCAGAGAAAAGCTTTAGTAACAACAAAAATTGCAATGTGAGCTCTGGTAAAAATCGTTGCTGAAGACATTAGGCGTATAAGTCCCAGAAATTCATACACAGATGTCCTCAAAGACACATGGCACAAGAGATAAAGGCGTTAATTAGATCCAGTGACAGGACCCAAATAGTGTGAGTTCAATACCTGATTAAATCAGTAGAGAACTTGAAGAGGGGAATTAACAGGAGATAACTGATAACTGACATCTATTAGACATTAGAATCTTTCAATTTATTTAATATCAATATTTCAAATGGATGATTTTATTCAATTTAATTACTTTTAATGTAAATAAAGAGGGTCATGTCACAATGCATATATATATATATGTGTGTGTGTGTATATATATATAGAGAGAGAGAGTGAGAGAGAGAAAGAGAGAGAGAGACAGACAGACAGAGGCACAGACAGACAGATAGAGATGGGTGATTAATGCGGACTAATCTTTGGCGAGCAAGAAGATAGTAATGCAGCCATCTTTTGAGCCTTGAATTCTGTATTCAAAACCCATCTTTATATACAACAGATTGCGTCGCTGTCATTAAACCATGTTTAGTCATTATGTATTTTTTATTTAATCAGGCAAACAAAATGATTAAAAATGATCAAGTGCTTCGAGTCCATATCAAGGAGAAAATCAATGAACATCGCAAAACCTTTGATGGCAGCAATCCAAGAGATTTTATCGATATGTATATTCTGCTAACGAAGGAAGAGAAAAGTGAATCTTATTCAGGTAAAAATTTCATCGAGGCTTCAAAAGATTTCTGCAAAGTATGAATTTTAACCGATCTTTTCAATTAGCATAAATTAATAGATATCTTGTTACCTTTTAGTTGAAAATATAAATTAAAAAAAACTTTTAGTTAAATTTTTATTTTAAGCTTATTTATAATCGGTGTGTCATTTGCAAAGCAAATTTAGAGAAAAATATTTGCAACTCATTTAAAAGGAATTTTTGGATTTAACTATTTGGCAGTAGCGTATATTCCTATATAAAAATACCAATTTTTTATTTATTTCATATGATATAATCATATGAAGCAAAAAATAAAATTTTCATATAAACATACAAAACTGAAAGAAATAAAAATAAATATATGAATAATTATTTACATTACTGAGAGATATAATGTTAATCTTCTTGCTAAACATATTGTAGCATATACAATAACAATTATTTACAAATTTGGATTGGTTAAAAACACGGGACCTTAAGAGACATGTAAGTTCGTAAATAATATTGGTTCTCTGTTATGTAGATTTTGCAGGTGAATTATTATGTTTTATTATGTGGTTAACTGTTTTAAATCATTTGTAATTGTTGTGGCCCGTTTAGGAGCCAGAAAGAAAGACACGGAAGACGAAGGTAGGTTGAAAAAAGTATATTGAAGATATATACAAAACAATAGTGTTAGTAAGAAGTAGATTAGCACTTATAATTATTTATTCACTTCACCCTATTCGATTCTCGCAGTTTGTATTTATGAGAGGAGGAAGAGTTCATTTTACTGTAGGAGGGTTTAACACAACAGGAATAAATAATTAATTTACTTGTTTTTGTCGACTAGAGTTGTTTATTTCTTTATGATGTTTCTAAGTGAAGATTCGTCTTCTTGATAATTACTATGCATTTGAGTTTTGTAAAAAATGTTTTTATTTTGAAATATTACATTTCAAATGACTTAAGGCTGAACGTGGGTAGGGAAAGGTTGGTCGTCACTGACGATCCTACACCGAGTTTATCTGGTTAACGACTTGGGCACCTCGACGTGGTGTAATGGTTAGAAAGCTTGTCTTACTAGATCAAGTAGTGAGTTCAATCCTCACTGGGTTCTCCATACTTTCGGTCTTGTGCCACATCTAAGCCGGGTTTAGAAAATCATTATCTGGTTAACGACCCATTCATTCATTACAATTTATTCATGCACCACAAGAACTCGTTCATCGACACTCAATCCAACACATACCAAAATACCGCATACTCATAGGGATTTTACTAAAACAACCATGACATGAAAATATATACAATTTTTTTTACTTTTTAAAATTTTATTTTATTTTTCTATGAAAATACTCCAACGAGTGCGCAGGATCGCCTCGTCAGTGATGTTATTAATTGGGGTCAAGACATGTTTCGGGTCTTGCAACATCATATTTGTTCGCCCAAGAGACCCGACCGAAACAGTACTATTCCGGCAGGCGATGATGAAGCAAAGAAATCCGCCAAGCACGCAACAAATGGACACTATCACGGCTGATCTTGAAATTACAAGTAACAACTTACGTCATTTCCTCCTCAGCCAAAACGATACAAAAAAGAATAGACAGGATTCTTGTCTTTTTTCCATCTTAGGTCCACCACACAGAAAAACCCAGATTCCCAACGAACAGTTTGACATAACAGGTAAGTAATGGCCAGAAAAGTTTCCTTTCACATGAAGGAAAGAAAAAATAATATAAACGTATATAAAATTATAGCAAGTAAAGCGGAGAGTAGCGTATGAACCCAATAAAGAAATTAAAATATGTTAATAGGACCCGTCCACCTCACAGAAAAATAAGGGCACCCACGGTATTATGCCACTAAGCAGAATCAAGCAGCTCACTCGGTTAAGAAGCCCTCTACCCAGATGGTCAGCTAACTGGATCGAATGTTAGTGAGAAGGGTCAATATAGATCTGCTAGATTGTCCCACGTTTCACTGGTTATGCTATTCGGGCCATAAAATTATTTAGGCTTAGACTAGCGCGATACTCGAAGTTCAACACGTCCTTACTGGACAGGCGGAACTTCCGGGAACATCTGACTAGTTTAGTGCAGCTAGAGTCAGTGGGGGCAATTATTGGGAATAAGTAGGGGGGGAGGCTTCAGGATAGAATTAGGTCTTTTATCACTGAATTTAGCCAACGACTCGCTCTAGATACGGCTAAGAAGGTGAAGGTAATTAAAGACAGTCTAGCCCGGGTGGAGACTGAGGGCATTTCTCTATAGAGACAGGTGCTATCAGGGTCAAACAGGTAGACATGGGTTAACAAGATTTCTAACGAATCCGTGAATATAGGCGCAAAAATTGCGCAAGGAAGAAATATGTCAAGCATCCGACAGCTACTTTTATGAGATCGAAACTCTGGATAGACGCCGCCTGCTGTCCACCAACGACATTTGTGAGGCGTTTCGGCAGCATTTCCGGAATCAGTTTACCAAGGAACCTGGTGTCTGTGACGAGTACTTTTGCAGCTATTTAGCCGAATTTCCACGACTCTCGTCGACTGAAGCGGCTGGCTGCGAGAGTGATATTACAGAGGGCGATGTCCACTTTACATTGAAGATGGTTGGCCGGGGCATGTCTCCGGGACTTGATGGTCATCCCTACGAATTGTACTTGAGACTGTCGCACATGTTTGTCCCGATTTTGACAGTGGTGTTCAACAACTGGTTCCGGCTGGTGTTCATCCCAAACCGGATCTCCAGGGGTGTGATCATGCTGTTGAAAAAGGGCAATAATTGTTGAGGGAATTTAGGTGATTATAGGCCCATAGTTAAAAATTTTGCAGAAGATCCTGACGGAGCGTTTGCATTTAGTTGCTGAGATCCTGTTGGGACCGGAACAGACTTTTGCTGTGAAGTGTCGACCAATTCAAAGCAACCTGCAGCTGATCCACACGATCATAGAGGGTATAAAAGACGACGCTAGAGCAGCGCTTATCAGTTTGGATCAGTCCAAGGCATTCGATAGTACTTGGCTGCTGTCTTGCAACCCACCGGATTCAAACCCGACTTCTGCAAGTGGAACAGCCTGCTGTATCGCTTCCCAAGAGGCGTGGTGCAGTTAACGGGAAGTGGTCGGATAATGTGTCCAACGTCTATGTTAGTGGGGGGTTGAATGCCACATTTGGAGGGTCAACAAAATGCCTCGAAAGGCTTTGCGTGCTACTCCGCTGTCCAATAACCTTTCACGGCCTACAAGGATATTGTATCAAGAACTTGTCGAGGGACCGTATCGCACTTATTCCTGGAGTCTCTCAGCTTGTGGTCAACCAAGTTACGCTATTTTTGATTCCGGGGTGCATTAAAAATAAACACAAACCCCCCCAAAACTATTGTATATATATTTTACTAAGATCCCTATGAATTTGCGGTATTATGGTAGGTGTTGGATTGAATGGCTATGAATGAGTTCTTGTGGTGTATTACGAATTTACATGTCCCTTAAGGTGCCGTGTTCCTGAAAAATCCAAATTTGTAAATAATTATTATTGTATATGCTACAACATGTTTAGCAAGAAGACTAACATTATATCTTTCAGACCATAGCTCAATTAGGCCTCATTTAAATACAAATGGAGACCTACCAAACTCTATCCTTAACATAACCGTTGATTATATTAATATAAAAGCATCGTCTACATTTACAAAAAAGGCTAAAAATAATGGCAGCATCATTAATAAAAAAGAATACGCCAACACTCAATAATAACATCTATGAGCAAGGCCACTATGCGCTAACCGTGTTTGTAAAATAAAACATTCATATAACTCCAGATACATGTATAAAACAATGCATATATTCAGTTAAAAGTAAAATAAAATTCGTCTTTGTTAATGGCTAAAATTATGGCGAAAACGCTTGGAAAGCATTCAGACAATTTTTATGCAATTTATGTCCTGAAAAAAATATATATATACGACCACAGGAAAAATTATATAAAAACTCAACCACAATACCTTGTCAGTCGTTTTGAACAAAACCTGCATAAAAGAGAAATTGCGGCCTAAATACACAATATATATATATATATATATATATATATATATATATATATATATATATATATATATATATGAAGAAATATAGTCTTAAGGTGTGATATAATTATGGGATAAAGTGCTCAATATCAGAGATAGGGCGTGTGTAAATATAAAAGTGAACATAGAAGTCAACACTTAGAGGCGACAGTCTGTTTCATGCTATATGTAATCGTTTGCATCTAGCATGAAATAGACTGTCGCCTCTAAGAGTTGACTTCTATGTTCACTTTTATATATATATATATATATATATATATATATATATATGACAGGTGACAAGTTTAGTGTAACCCTGCATTTCTTTCAAACACACATTTAAAAAGAGATATTTTTGCATTTTTTGGTGTATTGTTATTTTGTAGTTAGAAATATAATAAAAAATATTTTCATTCAAAATTTACGAAGAGGATTAGGATGAGATTTTAGCAATATGCTCCAGGGAAATCCGATTGAGCTCTCTTGAGAAATGGGTAATTTTAAAAACAGTGGCTCTCACTGCTATTAATGCATTGCTCTTCAACTGAATTGACCTCTCCGAGCCACTGGCGTATTTAGTATAGAAAACGTAAAATTACCCCTTTTTCTCTGCGACGATAGCCTAAGTGTAGGATCTCTGACTGATGCCAGATCGGTCGGATTTCGATCCCGGATTAAAGCAATCGGTCGTCTAGCCACACTGAAGAGCTATGATACAGTGAAACTGTCTGTCTGTCTGATAATATATATATATATATATATATATATATATATATATATATATATATATATATATATATTAATAAATATACATATCATCCCTCGGAGTTTCATGCACAACACAATCTTCAGGTGATGAGTATAGACTGACCGCTACGTAATTTAAATTGTAATAAAAAATATCTGCTTATTGTAATTTACCAACTTAAACAAGGAGACTGCCCAGAAGAGTTGCTGGAGGCCGTGGTTGAAAGCAATAACAATTCTATTGAATAAATTTGCTCTTTAGCATTTCAAGATTTTTTTGTGCAATTTTGGTAAATATATCTGTTAAAATGGGATGTCAGTGTTAGTTTCGGTTTTAGACGACATTTTATTCATCGCACCTTGTGTATATATATATATATATATATATATATATATATGTATATATATATATATAGATAGATAGATAAGTGTGTGTATAAGTTATATGATTATATCGTATAAAAATAATAATAATTGAAATATAATTATCAGCCGATAAATAAAGTCATACTCGTTAATTTAGATTTATTCATATTATGTATTGTTATATTTGTTGTAAGATTTTAATATTGAATTTACTAATATCATTATCAATAAATGCTAGATGACTGCTTAAATGAATATGCAAATAGATGAATATTTAATACCTATATTTAATAGGTTTTCAGATGATATTTACATTTCTTTTATTTAAATTGATTGGTTTTTTCTAGAGGTGAATATCTTCCGTACAATTGTTGATTTGTTTACTGCTGGTTCGGAAACAACAGCGACATCTTTACTCTGGGGTTTCTTGTACCTGACAAAATACCCAAAGATACAACATCAATGTCGAGAGGAGATACAAAAGGTAAGACAAATGGACAACAACATTGATTCCTTTCACGGTGTTGAGGAAACAAGTCTAAGAAAAGGTCGACTGTGACATTAAAATCAATTTTGGAAGGACTCGGTTTGATCTGAAGTTTTTAGCCTAGACACTGCCTCTGTTGCTTTTGTGTTTGCAGTACATACCCCTGTATGTTATAAAATGCACTATATATATATATATATATATATATATATATATATATATATATATATATATATATATACAAACAAATTTGATTTAAAAAAACGACAAAAACGACATGAACTGATGGACTGTCTGTTTTTATTGTATTTTTATCATTTTTCGATTAAGGTGTTTAGTATTGTGTTAAACATTCATTAAAAACAACAGACAGAGTACTACTATTAAACTTTTTATTTAATTTTTCTTCTGTTCGAACAAGTGTTTTCTTTTTGGACACAGAGTGTGTAGAAACTGTCCAAATATTCTATAATTCCGAGCGCTTTCGGCTATACATTTAGCCATTATCAAGGATGATTTTATTTTTTCAGTTTAATTGGGTGTGTGCGTTGTGTGGATGTTTTTTCGAAACACGCGAAACATAGAAAGTACAAATATAATAACTTCATCCACATGAAAAAAAAAAGATTAAAAATAATGGAAGCCTTAACAATAAAGAAAAAACCAACATCTAATAATATTAACTACAAACACGGCCACAATGTGCTGTGTTCGGAAAATAAAACATCTCTATAACACTAAAAATATACACACCACGCACATGTAATTAAATTGAAAATATAAGATCATCCTTGATAATCGCTAAAAGTATAGCCAAAAGCGCTGGGAATTATAGATCTTTTGGACACTTTCTACACACTCTGTGTCCAAAACAGAAAACACTTGCTTGAACACAAGAAAAATTGCTTAAAAAAAAAAAGAAGCTTAATTGCAGTACGTTGTCTGTCGATTTTAATGAAACATGCATATGTATATATCTATAAGTGAATTAGCATAAAGCAGAATTGAAACGATTTCAGTTTTCTACAATTTTATTACAAGATGTGTCATATGTTCTCTCAAATCAAAACAGCGCCATGTTCTTTTAAGCAGAAATATGACTACTGATTAGAAGAATATTATGAACTGGAATTTATTATAGTGTGATGACCATAGCTGTCATGAAACCATATGTAATTATTCAGGTTTGGTTTCTTATATAACGAGATAATAATAGAAAAATTATTTTTTCATTAAAAACAGGTAATAAAAGAATATTAAAATTAGAAATCACGCAAGTTTGTTCTTTTGTTGCCTCCACATATTATTTTTGCAATAACATAATTGCACACTGTCTAACGTCAGTCAGTAGGAATACAAATGAATTTGTTATTTAGACAACGAAAGTTAAGCAATGTTATGCCTGGCCAGAAATATGTCCGGAGATGTAATCATTAAGGACATTAATTTACAAGATAATCTTTCTTATATTTTAAAGTTGACTGGGTTTAGCCGAATGGTTACAATGGCAGATAGAGACGAATTACCATTTGTCAACGCCACAATTCTTGAAGTACAAAGAATTGCAACAATAGGTGAGTAGAGGAAATGTTAATAATATCTACGGATTTAGTTTAACTATAACTCCATTTTGTACTTCTTAAAATTGATATCTATTTTTGTAGTGAATTTGTAAATAATGTCTCACTAATCGGTTCAAACACCGGGCTGGTAATGCTCATTAACACAGATTTATGCAAATGAATTCATTACTGAGATTAAAATGGTATAAATAGTCATTCTAATGCTAGGAAATTCTACAATCCCTCCATGTTTTCAATTTCAACTTGGAGAAATAACTCTAATAAGAACAAACATAATGTAATTTGATAAATCGGCTCTGAAAAGTAACACTATTTACATTATTCGGACTATTGTTCTAATCTTTGTCGCCATATTTATTACAACGTTTCGGCCGTTGTACGCTCCGGCCTTCTTCATGTGGTTGGAAGGTCGAAATGAATGGTTACATCTAGCCATATCAACAGTAAGAGAGACCTATCTGCTACTCTAGTACTTAAATTCGTGAATTCGGGATACCAAATAGGAAAGTAATATTTATTCTGAATTCCAAAAGAGAAGATAGGAGAAAGCTGGTCTTCAATCTGTCTTATCTTAAACTTAGCTAGCGATTGTTGATCCAAACATAGCATAATACAGTCACCATAATACCTCCGAGTCTCTATATAGTCCCAACTAGTTCCCATATGTACCAAAGAGGAAAGTTCATCAGAACATTAACCTTGAAAATATTTATAAAAAGAAATCAATGGAAAATCAATTTTAGTACGGTGGGAATCCAAGATGCCAGGTCCTGACCGATAACAGATTCTTCTTTGAATTTTGTCAAGAATCTGCAAATATATTACAGAAGCATCAGACCAAATGTGGCAGCAATATTCAATATACGGACGGATGATAAACTTATATGAAATTGAGCAAAACTCTTAAAAAAACTGTACTATTTCCATTTAGGTACCATTTCTGAAAGGCTGAATAATTTGTAACGCAATGCTTATTATTTGTGTATGAAAACCGCTTTCTAGGGCACAACACATGAGAGACTTTTGAGTTATGCCGAAAATCGCTCCACTGGAAGATTTGCTTGCTAGATATTGCTCATGTTGAAGTATTTGGGATTTAAACTTTGCTTACTACGATACAAGGTTATAAGACAAAGTTCAATAAATGGACCCTCTTAAAATAAGAAAGAATCCCTGATATGTTTAAATTAACCGAATGGATTCATATGACTAAAATATTACAACGCACCATTAGAAGCAGAGATTAATATTGCTTTACAAATTTCATTTTTAATACTGACAAATTAATGTTCATATATCCATAGATATGACTCAACCAGAAATAGCCAATAGCGTGACTTAAGTCTGACACAAGGCTAGAAATATGGGGCATTCAATGATCAAACAATATGCAGTTGTGTCAGACCATACATAAAAGTGAGCTATTTCCCTACATATGACAAACTACAATTTCTAAAAATTAAAATAAAAAATAAAAACAAAAAATAACATAATATTCTAAATAAGACATATCCGGCAGCCTTTAAATACATATACATTTCCGTAGAGGTATGCATGTACCGGGTGCAACAGCAAAATTGTCCAAATCGTGTAACAGCAAAATTGTCCAATTTTTTTAGATTAAACCATGAACTGTTGTATCTTAGAAATGATTAAATTTATCTTACTGGAATTCTGCGAGTTTTTTTTTTATAGCACTATTGGATGATACTTCTTTCTGTTGCGACCTCTCGATCCACTTTTCCTCTCAACTGTTTACTGTTATCGTGTTGTTTCTTGAATGGACTTTGAAGATGGAAATCAGAATATGAATGTTGGTACAATTACTGAAGGCCTGAATGATCTTTTTCCTCTAACCATTGCTCAGTTGGGAAGATATAGTAGGGCTGACAAAAAATGATTTTAACCTGTTCTATTTCTAGCAGAATAACTCAAAGGGGGTTTGTTATATACGGTACATATGAGCACTAATGGTTATGCCCCAATTCTCATAAAATACGTTGGCCACTACTGTAAACGAGGTAACATGCTGTCTAAGTAGTGCACCACTAGCAGTGGTTTACCTACTTCACGCCGCTGGCGAGTATTGTATTTTGTTGATGTTATAAAGATTACCATTTCATTTCCAACTTCCGTTTTGGTTGTTCCTCATTCAGTAATCTTTTCTAGGTTACAACAAGGTTTTCAGTGATTCGAGTCAAGATGGTGCCGAGATTTCTCATCTGAAAACCTGGTAAAAAAGAAACTCAGTTTTTTTTTAAGATATTACACACTTTGTGGGATGGACAATTAAACCCAGTATATCCCCAAATCTACAAGTGATGAGTGAAATGGATTTCATATCTGAAATAGCATTCAGAAATTAAGTTAGAACACCTATTGTTATGCTTGCCTAAATTTCTTTGTAAACAGTGCTATCTATAATAAGTGGTATACAAAATATTAAAAAGAAATGTCGTAGATGTCAAATATTGTCGTAGCATAAAATAAACTGATTATTGCGCATGGTCTCTTGCTATATCTCTTGATATTCTCGACTAAATCCAAAGAAAAATCTGCAAAGTTACCGGTCCTCACCTAGCATCACTGCTTCAGTCAATTTCCCATCTAGACCGGTCCTCACCTAGCATCACTGCTTCAGTCAATTTCCCATCTAGACGAAATCTGCAAAGTTCAATTTCAAAGTCAATTTCCATCGCCATAAAGTCGATTCATTGTACCTGTTCTATAAATATTTTCAGGCCAATTGTTCTGTTCTTGCCACTTTAGGATTTCGGCTTCGTGAATTTCAGCGTAGTACTAGATTGGCAGTTGGGTCTCATCGTTTTATGATTGAAATAACTAAATGTTACCGTAAATTCTGTTCTAATAATTTCCTCTATCGCACCTCTTGACCGTGGAACTCTCTTTTGGCTCACTGATTATCTATCAACTACGTTCTTCAAAAATTCAAATTTAACATCAATCGCCATCTTCTGTCTTTTTAAAAACTGTTTTTATTGTCCTTTCTTCTCATTAAAGTTTCTTTCGTTTCTTTTTGGCTCCGTAACCTCTTGTGGGGATGCAAAAGAAATTTGCTCCATAAAGACCAAGAACTATTTTTTTTTAAAAATACCATCATTGACAATAATAAAAGAAGTAAAAGAATTATTTTCTTGTTTAAGAAATGCGAAGATGAAATGATTCCATGAGTCACTATTTAACTTTTTATCAAAGACTAATGGATTTAAAAAAAAATATTTCTAGTTGGAATTAGAGAGCATTTTCAGGCGTCCATGAATCAATTTTGGCAAAAAAATTAATCCAGAAAAAAAAAAAAACAAGCAAAAATCCAAAACAAAAAAAAGAAATAATATATAAATAATGTATTCTGGCAATTGATTGTCCATTGAATGTTACAGAATACTGTTTAGGGGTTGTTCATTGTTTAGCATCACATTTCAAATTCCACTTCTCTGGTTTGCATTTTGTTTCATTTACAGCTGCACTGGGTGTTCCACATATTTCAGAAGAAGACATCACCCTTGGAGGTTTCGATCTACCAAAAGGCACAATTGTCCAGTTTATGATCGGTGCTGTTCAAAATGATCCAAGATACTGGGACAATCCTGAGAAGTTTCTACCGGAACGATGGTTGACAAAAGACAACAAGATAATAAAGAAAGATGCATTTCTGCCATTTTCATGGGGTAGGGGTTTATTTTTTATTGAGTACCTATTCTACTCATGATTAGATAACATGTTCAAGTGGGTATTTCCATTTTAAATAAATTTCTTTTACTGGAGTCATTTTAATGGTTAACTTCATATATTCAACAGGACAGATCGTTCTTAATAACTTCATTTTTATCAAACTCTCTTTTTATACAATAGATTCCTAATTCTCTACAATATTGGGTTAAGATAATCGTATTTAGAGATTCTGGATTTCACTTTATTAGCTCAAGGGCTATTGTATCTCTGACTAAAAATTTGGCTTTATCCAATCGCTCTGAACAAATCCTGTAATAACGGTGATCTTGAACGGCCATGCTTCTAGATCATTTCATATTTATGATGGAATGCCCAAGGGGTCTATCTTTGGACCCACGTTGTTTCTTTTCTTTATCAACAATGGTCCCAATGTCATCAGTTCCCAACAAGGTAATTTATACCAATTACATAACTATTTACTGCTGCCTTAATAGTAAATGCAATGAACCCAACAAATTAAAACTGGCAGCTGATCTCGAAAATGACCTCCGATAAGTCATTAACTGGAACAAAGTATGACTTTTAAATTTTAAATTCTTACCATATAATCACCATAGAGAATATTTCTGCATTCCATCAGAATGGTTCATGCCAGCTTCCAAGAAAGCAACTCATTGCATCTACTTGAGCCATCTTTTTTCACTGACATGTAGTGGAGTGACATATTAAGACAATTACTACGTCTTCTGCTATAAAAGTTGGTTCTCTATATCGTGTCAGGCAATCTTTTTTTTTGTCAGAATCCATCCAGCACATTTATAACGTTACCACCTGTCCGTGCATTGAATATTGCTGCCACATATGGTGTTGCATTCTCTCTCTCTCTCTCTCTCTCGTCTAATGTTGTTTAATAATGTCGACATGTACTAACCATCCCTCAGGGGTTTCCCCTCCCTTCACTGGGAAGTCATTTCAGACACGAAAGAGAACACGCTTGACTATCAAGAAACAAATCGCTGAAAAACCTTTCTCTGCATATCATTCCCACGCTAGGTTAGCCAATCAAAATCGGCTTCCTTATTATGTCTTACATCTGACCCCGAAGGTCAGCCTCCGGATGTCGGAGCTGAGATACACTTCGTCCTAAAAACAATACACTGATAAACTGCTATATAACTCGGGTGTAGTGCTCTTGCTATATATCTCTAGAAAATCCAAAGAGTCTGTAATGTTATTGGTCCTATTGGCATCTTGGTTCCAGTTACTTTCCCACCGCCGTTATGTGGCTCCCCTCTGTCTTTTCTATAAATATTTCCCTATTTTTTTTTCTAAGGAGTTCCCTTTTCTACTTTGAACGTATGAATTTCAGTTTGTTACTAGATTAGTAAAAAGATCTCATTGATTTACTATTGAATTAGTTGGACGGAACGGTCAGTTTTTATTTCACGTATTTCTTACCTATGGAATTCTATACTGATTTTTTAAAACTTTTCTGCCGCTTATATTCTTCAAAAATTTAAATGCAA